ACATTCCCAGCACTCGATATTACATTTTTACATTTTCCTCTATCCCAAACTTGATCAATGTCAAACTCTAGTTTATGACTTTCCATCAACAGAACCTCATAACTTTTACAACTTAATTAACCATTAATCACAAGCTTTTTCCTTCTTGTCATGATATCAATATATTCAGTAAAAGTAATCATTGAAATGATTTATCGATTGTTAATTTGTCATTTAAAGAGGATAAACTTTTGAAAATTAATGGTTGATCATGAAAAGTTTTCATTGAAAAGTAAAGGTAGGAAGGAGAAAAGGATTAAACATTTTTTGTGCTCTTTAACAAAGTAATTATCCAGCCTTTTTGTTTTTTCACATTTTAATAAAAACACTATTCTTTGCAAGTTATCAGACCAAAGAATCGATCTGAATGGTAAACTGTTTGGGTATTAGAATCTCTTGTTTAATTAATTTTAACAATGTTTACCTTCAACTTGTCGAATACAGAATTACACTTGGAATGGTTGAAGTTTACTTGATGATGGATAAAGAAGATGAAGATAAAGAAGAAGAATAATAATAAAAGAAGAGGGAAAAAAGGTTTAATCGAGAGGTGAAAGAGAATGAAATAAGGCGAGATAAAACTTGAGCCAATACCAGAACTTTACCCTGATTATGAGGGAGAAAGAAGTGCATTTTTGTTTGTAAGATGAAGAGAAAAGAAAAGCTTCTTTATTATTATAAGAGACCATCAAAATGCTGTAAGGGAATTGGCTTGAAGGCAAAAGGTAACCATAAAAGGAAATAAAAAAAAGGGAAACAAGAAGATGATGAAAAGGGATGAAAATGATGCAAAACAATAACAACAATAACCAAGAATGGTAAACAATGGAAATGAAAAACACTATTAGGATGTTGATTGGGAAAAGGTTATCAGGAGCAGTATTGTAGGTCATCGTTATCATCATTCGTTGCCGTTTAAACCATTTAAACTGTGAATCTGCTTGAATGCCTTGAGGTGGGATCAATGGTGATGGTTAAGAATAAGGATAAAAATGATGAGAATAAGTTTCAAGATGAAAATTGTAAAACGATTGATTTAGGTTGAGGAAAATGTTAGAATTTTTGTGTTTTTCTACTTTTTTCGCCTTGCCTTGTTTGCCAAATATCGAATTAGAAAAATGAAAGCTATTGTAACACGACGAAATTTGTGATGTCAAGTAAATTATGAAATTATTTTGACATTAAAAGGTGAAATAAAAAGTGAAAATTGATTAAAATTGTCAAAAGAAGGGACGAACTTTTATTTCTCTCTTTGGACAAAAGTTGGCTTGCTTCTCACACTTCTAATCTATTATTAATGGTGTTCAACATGGACAGATTGTGGACAGACAATTTATTGAAGATCACATAGCTTCAAATTTTAGACATAACTTTTGGACACTTATAAACGGAATGAAAAAGAACAAGAAAAGGTTTGCTGTATCTGGCATGATCAATAGCTACAATCAAGTTGACCGAATATTGGATACAGAATTTATCAAGATATTGCTTTTTAATATGCATAATATAATTTAAGAAAACATCTCATGATAGTTCGCAAGCATATATCAATCAGCTGGGATATATTTCCGAAAATTTCCAACTAATTTCATGTATAATATTCTATAGCAAAAAATGATTTTGTTTGATTGAGTAGCGGGCATCCTCAATGCAACAACTATTAAGCAGTCTCGGATCAAGTGTAAAACAATAACTTGTCCTAAGATTATACGTGAATTATTATAACCTACTCAAAACGTATGGACGAGTTCCAACGGGGTTAGAAGCCAGGAGCTGGTTAGTGGAGAGTAAAGATATCAACTGATGGAAACAGAACAGGGACTGTTCCGAAAAGCGGCCGGCAGATTTAAAACAATAAATCCTCTATTGACGCAAATGAAATTGTATCATACTAATTTGCGTCAATAAGACGTAAGTAGATTTTAAGATTAGATTTTCCCAAATACCAAATTGATAAATCTAATTATTTAAACTCAGAAAAAATCTTGCATTTTATGCATTCTAGTGATAAACTCTGAACAGTTAAGAACTCATTGTCTGAGTTCCAACTAGACAAACAAACCATCTTATGTATTCAAACGAGTTGAACAGTAATAAAGTGTCTTAATGAAGTAAACGTTAATTTCAACAAGCAACCCCGTCTATCATAACTCTCTTCACAAGTAACTCATCAAACTTATCAAACTTAACTAAAATATCATCATCATCACACGGGTGTCTGACAAGTCGACGGGTCGAATCAAAAAGCGATGAAATCATGCTTATTAAGCGTAATCATCGTTTCTTGTTTACGATTCACACCATCTTTCGACACCATTTTCATATCCTAAGGATGAATACGGTTAACACTGTCTTTCAATGTCTATTTCCGACATGATTTTTGACTGAAAGAACGAAAAATAAATTTTTCCCTATTTGAAAGCATAAGAGTGTCAAATGAATCAATTTAATGTTTCAACTATCTTTCTAGCTGGTTAAATAAGCATAAAATTAAATAATTTCAATTTTTATGATTTCTCATGATATTTCAAATGATATAACCAATTTAAACACCAATTATTTTTTTAACTTACCATTAAGATTTAGTGCAACCTACCCTACAAAATACTGGACCTTTTGGTGTAGACTCTAAAGAAAAATACATCTATCAAAAAACAGCTTTGCAAGTTTAAAAGAAACTTACTTTGAAATTGAAGAAGCCCGAGATGTCGGACTTCTCCAATTTCAAATCGCAGATTGCTCATCACCTTTTCCACCATCCTGTTCATCCTCCTGTCCACCTTCCTGGTCATTCATTTCCTGGTCATTTTCCTCATTAGTCATTCGTTCATCAATTTGGAGTTGATTAGATGCTGTTGATGGGGCTTGTGATGCTGCCACTTCATTTTCACCTCCTGCTAAACACAATAATTCGATGGTTAAAAACAATGATCTATTGATAAAATATACACAAAACTTACCTGTTACCATAAGCACAAAAACTAAGAAGTTCATTTTGCTCGATTTAGGATGCAAAATTAATCACAAATTTGATCTATTAAACTTGTCAGAACGATGTCTATGTCTATACAAACAGCTGATTTATCGTTGCTGTGCAATTATGTGTACATGCGCAGTAAATTTTTTTGAGCGGTCAATTTAAAGTGGTAAGCTTTTTATAAATAGGTAAAATTATGTTGCTTTTTCATCATAAATAGGCAAAATTATTTAATTATTCAAACATCAATTAAGTAAAATCATGTTGCTTTTCTGTTGTCATTTCTTGCTTGAGCGATTTAATGTTTTGACAATTCAAATGCTTGAATGATTCAATGTTACAATTTCATAAATAGCCTAAAGGCTTCCTGCAATGATTTGCGATGACCAAACGTAATTCATGAGCAATTTTCGTTGTTAATTTCTGAGCAAATAAATACCACGGAGAAATGTAAAAACGATTTCAGTTGTAAATTTGACTACGTACAAATCATTTGATTATTTGTTAAAGTTTAACACTTGAAATTCTTGGATTCTCTCTGTTTCTGAAATGGATCACCTCACTAGTGCTTTAAACGCTATGAATCTGGAGAAGGAAAATGCAATGGACATTGTTCCGACTCATCGAGAAGAGATGAACATAGATTTAGAAATGAAAGTAATTTTTTTGATTTTGTATCAATTACTTTTACTAAATTTCGTTTATATTTTATCTTTTCAGGAGGTAAATACAGTGTTGCATCTTTCACTATTTGAAATGTCTGAAGTTAATGCAGCGATTGATGAGATGTACAGAATCAACTATAAAGCCGATCGAAGGAAAGCTCCTAATGCCTTGAGAAACGGGCTGCGGCTGCGTTTACGAAATAAAGCTTTCGCATATATGGATTCTGTTGTCAAATTTAAACAAGAAGCTGAGCCATTATCGGAATATTTGATCCATCAATGCACCTGCACAAATAACTGCAAAAGGCTTGAAGTCTTTTTGACAAAGAACCTGTGATTCAGGATGCCCCATGTGTCAAGGCCAAGGCATCAGCACCTAAAATGAAAATGAAATGTGCGAAATGTAAAAAAAGCTATGTAAACGAAGCACGTTATCGAGCACATCAAAGGACATGTTCTAGCCTATCCATCCTAGATTTACCTTCACCATCATTTCAAAGTGACTATAAACTTATTGAGGCTGCATTCCATCGAAAATTCCGCGTATATACTAACGACATGACTGATATGGTGGATATTGATATTGTGAAGCGACATCAAAAATCCCGCATCAAAGACATACTCAAAATTAATCTTGATGACATAGGACCAATAAAATTCTATATTATTATTAAAGTCTATTTCCATAAGATGAACATGCTTGAACTAACATCAGCTGACATTCCTTCAACAATGAAACCATCATTACCAGGAGATAATATTAGTCATTAACTTGATGAGTGCTTCACTGAAATAAAAGAAATCATCGATCAAGAGGAAGTGGTTTCACTATAGTTGACATCAGTAAAATTGATGTACTTATTGCTTGTTATCAACCTCATAGAGGTGGATGTCACCGATATAAATTACCCCAAGAACTTCAGGAAAAGAAATGTTTATTGAAATTGGATTGTGACACTGATTGTTTTATGTACTGTGTTCTTGCTTCAATATATGTGAAAAACGATCATAGAGGAAGACATCCGTGGTGAAGTACCGCTTGATAAAATAAAGAAATTTGAAAAAACAACACCATTTCTGTAAGTGTTTTCACTTGCTTTGAATTGCCTGAGGTATTTATGCTAACGAAAGATGATATATTGATGACTTAAAGAAGGGAAACATTCGTTTTCCTTTTTTCAGCCAAAATTAATGTCGAAAATAGAGATTGCAAGACAGTGTTAAGAACGAGCCCTAAAAATGTCGTTGAAAGACGGTGTGAATCGTAAACAAGAATTCAAGGTCAAATACAGACGTTAAAAGATGGTGTTCAACCGGAAATGTCAGACGGTAAAACTGTCGTTGAAAGACGGTGTTCAAGCGGAAGTGCCTCAGGGGATAAAATAGACGTTGAAAGACGGTGTCAGGGGGTCAGTGACTGAGGGGCACGAGTTTTTCCCCTATTTCCGTTTCCGTTCTATGGCTCAGAAGCGTATGTTTCTATACTACTGACACTTTTTCGACTTTGACAATTTACCAGAAGCACCCTGTATTCGGAAATTTTACAAAGTAGCGCTATACAAAGATTTGACATTTCGTCTATCGCATGACGTAAGGCAGGTGTTGCAAGCATTCATAGTTCTTGAGTAATAAACGCGCCAATGTAGGGATAGTTCATCCGAACACCTAGTAGATATTACATAAAATAAAAAGGATTCGAATAATATTCAACATGATCGAACTGAAACTGGAATAGAAGAAGGTCATTTTTGTAGTACCAATTTAAATTAGTTTGTTTGGTTTGCATAACGAAGGTGCTGCTCTGTACGTGCCGCTAGAATGACTGAAATTTCGATAGAGACTTAGTTCGCTAAACGAATTTGGTAAAATGAGCATCATTTTAATTATGGATAGCTGTATTTTTATCATGTTCATCATTATTTCGATTCTTGAAGTGATTAAATATTCATTGAGTTGAAATCTGATTTCGAATTGATAAGTTTTTATCATTCAAGATAGTTTTATCTGTCTACTCATAAGATCGTTTTACAGTCTGTTGATTTTCTTTACAATGAAAGCCAATTCTTTTCTACATCGATGTTACGTGCAACTGAATGATCAATTGCTCTACAAATGAGTGTTCAAGTATATACAAATCTGTTAACATTTAAACTTGAAACAAGACAATCGAAAGGAAAAGAAAACAATGGTTTCTTGGAAAATAGTCACAGCGCAATAGATTGATAAAAACATGTGTTCCAGGTGTTGATATTGATTGTTGATACTGTTTGGCTTGGAGTGAAAAATAAATGATGAAACAGTTGACTTTGAATGTTTGACTTTGATAACCTTCCCTTGCAAAGCTGATTCCAAGACTAAAGTGATAAGGGAAAAAGTAAAATCCAATTCTTGTAGAGAAAGAACACACAATAATATCCAGAATAACAAAACGTCAAAATACTGAAAAAAAATAGTAAAACAGCATAAAAAGGAGGGAAGAAAAAAGCAAAGCAACAGTAAAGAAGAAAAAACAAAATAGCAGTTTACCTTTCATCATTTCATTTTCAACTGATCCCTTCTCTTTCAACTTGCAAATATAATACATGACATGAACTCATCTAATTTTAATAATAATACTTTACTCCCTGTAACATTCCCATCAATTTATCCGAACAAATTATTCTTTGCACTTTTCTTCATCATCATCTTTTCTACCTTTTTTACCCAAAATTAGGGATAAATTTTTCCTTCTAATACATTCAGTTCATTTCCAGCTTAAGCCTTTCTGTTTTGCATGTTATTCCTGTCTCTTTCCATGCTCACCTTGTTCATACAGAGAAGAAGGAAAAAAAACTTTATCTAAACCAACAGAAGAGTACAAATCGTTTGTATTCACATTTCTTCTTTTTTATGTCAACATGATAATCTTACAGTAATTCAGGCTTTCTAGTTCAATCATTCATTGACATAGTAAAGAGCAAAGTAAAAGGCAAAATTATAAATCTCATGACTATTCACAATTAAGGCTGAGAAGGCTTCTGTGGAAACTGAATTGGGTATAAAATTTCAAGCAAGGTTAAGGAAAAGTTTACTCTTAATTTTGTGACGAAAATTGGATTTTTTAAACTTTGATCATTTTTTCGATCATTTTTCTACTTTTTCATCAAAAATTTCAATTTAGTTTTACATTTGATGAGAAACTCAAACAGTTTGATAATCAATTGGAAATGAAAGTTTTGTTTACTTTTTTCCTTGAAATTGTTTTCTAAAAAGATTAAATTGATTGCTTTTGCTTGGCATTTCAATTGAGTTTTAATTTCATCTGAATCTCTAAAGGTAAAAATAATTTTCTCTTTTTGTCCATTTTTCACAATTAAATACTGTAAGCAAATGTTGACTTACAAGGTTTTACTGTTGAAGGGAAGAGCAGCAGCAAGAAAAACAAGATTAACTCGAGTAATCATTAACACTTACCACCTGAAATTGCAAGTCAACATTGATGTTGATTGACTGAGTGTCACTTTGCCTTATTTTTAAACCTAAAAAGCATATAATGTTGGCACCTATTTGCGCCTTATAACCATTGACAGGTAAACAGAAAAAGTAACGCAATTTTCGTTCCAAGTTAGATTTGCAACCAAAAATTGGATTTCCAGTAATTTGATTTGCCCAAATTATCTTCATTCCTAATCTTTCCTTCTTTACCTTTTCCTCTTTACTCTCATCATCACTCTTTGCCTTTCCTCTTCCACTTTGGAAACAATGAGAAAAAAACTTTTTTCTTCTTCTTCTGACAATAAAACAGAATGCGCAATTCAGACTTTCACCTTTACTATTGAAACATGGAATCATCAATACTGTTATTATACATTATGTACAATACAACATATATTTATAAAAGTGTGTGTATGTGTGTAGAGAAAAAAAGGAAAAGATAAAAACAGTGAATAGGACAAAAGGATAAAAGTTGCAAGTAACATGTCAATTACTTTTGGCTTTGCTTCCTGAAACATTCTTATTCTATTATCATGTATTGAGCAAGTAAGCCAATTCATGTAAAAAGCCTTTTTCTCTTTACCTTCTCCAACTTATCACACATTGGCACACATGGACACATCAAATACAGCACACACACAAACATTACAGATATTTCACTCTTTATTCTCATCAAACATCATTGTTCAACTCTTGATTCAAGTCCAATAATTATATTTTCAAAGTGTCCACATTGACACTCATTGACCACCATTGACCATAAATGTACCTCACAAGACTAAACCTTCAAGTTGCATGAATCGTTATTTTGTCTTTCAACTTTTCTCTTCTCTCTCAACTTGGCACTTTCAATCTTTTCAAGAGTTAATCAACCATCTTCAACCCAGAAGCCACTCAAGTAGGCCAACAGTTAAGCATAATTGTGACCCAATAGAGAGTTGCTCTTGCACTGGAAAGTGGCAGAGTCAGCCACTTGTGTTCATTAAAAATGCAAACTTTTCTTATTGCTCTTCTTAACTCCTACCAATCTTATTCATTATTTTTTCGCATTCACTTGCAATTAAGCAAAAAGTAAACCTTGGTTAAACATTATCATGTCCACGCATAGAAACAAAAACAAAATAAAGCAAGTCTTGTGAGACTCTTTTTTGTTTTCCTTTTCTATTCTTTGTCCTTCCCTGTCTTGCCAGTTTCAACCTTGTTCATTCATTTGCCATGCATTGCGAGATTAATAGTGTAAACCTAAGATTAGGGCAAAAGTAAAGGTTAGCCAAATGCGAAGTGAACCAATAATCAAGTTGAACCTTTCTAGTAATACAAAGTTTCAATCAATACTTATTTATTTATTTCTCCTACTTTATTCTCTTCATCATCCTCATCTTTATTTCTTCCTCTCTTTCACATTCTTTTTGGCCAACTTTTCTTTCCTTTCACCTTCCATTTGATTGATATTAATAAATAAAAATTGGCTGCTAAATAAAAAGTAGGATAAAGAGTGCAAGAAAAGAAATAAAAAGTTATAGTTGAAACGATAATTGAATTACAATTACAGATTAATATGAATGGTTCTCTAATTTAGTGCAAAAGAAGATTCAATATTAGGAATGTTTCAGGGAGGGAAAACAAGGTTAAAAGTGACAAGTTGAAGTAATAATATAAAAACACAAATGAAGAGCAAAAAAGAAGGAAAAAATGAAGAAAAGTGAAGAAAGAATGAAAAGACAAGTTGAAGTTATTAGAATGGAAAGGATAAAGAAAATTAAGCTAAACGTTAAAGGAAAGAGCGAAAAGTGAAACTGAAAATTCGTTGAATTATCTGTATCATTATAATGAGATATAAATGTTGCTCTTGTTTCGATAATCGATATTTTTATCCATTAGTTGCATTTAATCACCTTTTGACTTGCCAATTGGGAGATATAAAGAGATTTATATTTTTACTTGCAAGTTGTTAAGCTTAAAGAGAAAGAGAAAAGGAAAAGAGAGGACAGAACAAGGTAAAGATGAAAATGATGAAGATAAGTTGAGAGAAGATGAGAGAAGCAAAAAAACTAGGTAAAGACTATTTTCATAGAGCAAGAGAGAGAGAGAAGGAAAAAAAGGATTCCCTCGAGAATGATGAAGATGCGAAAGAATTCAAACGATGAGATTGAAATTTATGTCAACCTAACCCAACAGGCTTTTAGTTCAAGTCGATTTTTCAATTCAACTTTTCTCCACATTTTTTACCTTTTCCATGATGACGATCATGATGATGATGGAAAAAGATTGTACAAAAGTTGGCGAGAAAAAATTTTGATTCTCATCGCTATTTGCTTTTCAACTTCCCTTTCCGTTTTCCATCACAACATTTTCCCTTTCCTTTTCCTTCTTTTCATCATCATCATCATCAACTTTGCCTTTTTTACCTCATTCCAAGCATTCCTTCTCCTGATATTCCTCTGCAAAACCCTTCTTATCATGGCTGAAAATGAAGAGAGAAAAAAATGATGCAAAACTATAACTAATGAACTTTGATGCTTCACCATTGTTTAATCAACCTCATTTAAACGGAAAATTGGAAAAACAAAGAATCTTTCAAACTGATCATTTTCCGGTTTCAACCACTTTTTCCTTTTTTCGTCCTGTTTTCAGATGACAAAGTTTTCTGTTGACAATGAGATAACCAGAATAGAGCGAAAAGGGTGAAAAATATTTTCCATTCGTTTGGCACGTTTTATTTATTCATCGAGTAAAACTTATTTCTCTGTCAACAAGGAGAACCAAGAAAAAGAGGTTGAATCGTTTTTCAAACATTTACTCTGATTGGATTATATTAATAATCTTGAGCGGTGAACAAATTAATTTCAAGTGAAATGACAGAAATAGGAAAGTGCATTCATCTAGAAATGAGAATAAACTTTTGTCAATCATTTAGAGGATAAACAAATGATGA